CCCGCCTCGGCCTCCCAGAGTGCTAGGATTACAGGCGTGAGCCACCGCGCCCGGCCTCTAACATGTTCTTATTACTATCTGCATTCCCATGATGGCAATAAGATTTCAAGAGTTGTGTGTGCATTTTTGATAGGTGTGTGTGAAGGGGGAGCTTTCTTCAAACTACATCTCTTAAAGAAAATCTTCAATGTGATGAGGAAAATGTCCCCATCAAATATTGCCACTAGGTTGGCCTTGCTCATGGCATTGCGCTTCCTTGGGACATAGATAGAGGCTGAGAGAGAAGCCAAGTGTCACAGACCTTGTTCCAGGGGAGGCAGAAGCTAAGATGGAGGTTAGTGTGCAGGGGAGGAGAGGGGAGGGGAGGAGAGGAGAGGAGAGAGGGCAGAGGGAGAAGTTGGGCTGCAGTGTAATCTCAACCAAGGCCTCAGCCAACTCCACGGGGAGCTCCGGAGCTGGACTGATCCTCCAGAGCAAGGGGCCTCGCCCGATTCAGGCTGCACCCGAGAAAGGCACCTGTTTGGGGGCAAGGCAGCTTCCTTGAGTGGAACCAGTTACCAAAAAGTGTTGAGGACTGAGTGCTGGCCGTGGACCACAATTCCCTGCAGCTGGGGGAGAAGATTCACCAGTCCTGCAGAGGGAGTCAGGATTTGCATGACCTCCTGCCCTTGTGGACAAGCCACTTACTTTCAGTGAAGGGTAGCACTAGAGAGGCCCCGGGAAACATGACCTTCTGGACTTGCTCCCTTTCTTCCCTGGTCCTCCGTGATCTCACCTGTCATAAGAGGGACTTCTACTGAGGTTGAAAGGTGGCAGCCCTCTGCCTGAATCAGGCCCATAAATCTCTTTGGGTTTGGCCCTCAGCGTTTTAAAATTTTGATATTTTGGCCGGACGCAGTGGCTCACACCTTTAATCCTAGCACTCTGGGAGGCTGAGGCGGGCTGATTGCTCGAGGTCAGGTGTTCGAAACCAGCCTGAGCAAGAGCGAGACCCCCGTCTCTACTATAAATAGAAAGAAATTAATTGGCCAACCAATAAATATAGAAAAAATTAGCCAGGCGTGGTAGCGCATGCCTGTTGTCCCAGCTACTTGGAAGGCCAAGGCAGCAGGATCGCTTGAGCCCAGGAGTTTGAGGTTGCTGTGAGCTAGGCTGACGCCACAGCACTCACCCTAGCCTGGGCAACAAAGCAAGCCTCTGTCTCAAAAAGAAATTTTTTTTTTTTATATTTTGCTGCTAATATTTTAAAAAACTGGGAGAGTTCCCATAATATTTCAGATGTCTGGTCTTTCTTGAAAAATCAGAAGATGTGGCCACACTTGACCTAAATCCCTTCAAGTCCGTGGTCATCGGACATGGGCACAAGCCCACCAGGGTGCAAAGATCCTCACCCAGCCTCCAGCTCCTGTGAGCATCTTCTTGAGCAACAGATAAATGTTGAATAATACTCAACTATTTGAACACAACTTCTAAGTTAATCCTCCTTTGTTCTTAATGTCAACAAATCAGATAAGCTTTTATTCAACCAAAAATAAACTAATTTCTCAATTATACAGACTGTGATATGTAGCGAATATGAACTTGAAAATGAGGAGAAACCAATGCAACATACCATGTCTGGTGCAACCACTGTGTAATTGGTGCTGGTGACTTCCAGGAACACTTTCATTTGTAAAACAAAAACCAACCCCAGCAACGTTTGTGACACGTTACAGAGTAATTGCTTGTTTGTTATGGATCCAAGTTTTTCATATGAACCAAGCATAAGAAATGTCATTTAAAAATACTCTTTTTGCTAGAAAGCACTATATCTGAAAACCCAAGCTGTTCAAGTTAAGTCACAAGTAGGAGTTTTGATGCATTCCCTGGTGATTTGTGTTGAAATATGGTTTATTTCAAATCTTAACAGAGTTGGTTTATTCAGGCATATGAACCAATCATTGGTACAAATCCTTTGACATTGTTTGTCTCCTCCGTGAGAAAGCTCACCATTCAACTGGAACCCCGACTGTAGGTCAGTGGTTGTAAAAGACTTTCTTGATGGCTTCGTTCTTTCTTCCATGCTAATAGAACACGGGTTTTGCTCAGGTGGCAAGGTGCCCAATCCAGGCATATCTGCAAGGGATGAATTGCGTGCAATTGGGCTAAATCTGTCATGAGTATTGCATTCCAGTTTCACGTATAGTCACACTCCCAGCTTCCCTTGCAGCTACACTGGCTAAGTGAACTAGTCTCTTTACTAAGACAGGGAATAACTACCAGGATGCTTCTGAAAAAGATCATTTTTTTTTTTTCTTGATGAAAAGGGATCAGTGCAAAATGAGAGCTTGCTGGTGCTGCCCTTCCTCTCTCTGCTTGAGCCGTGGTAGACATCCTGAAACTCTGAGGTGACAGTTACGAATGAAAAAACAGCCTCTAAGCATGAAGCAAAATACACGCTTGGTCACCAGAACCATCCCTGGAAATGCCTACTTCCAGCCTTTTTGTTTTTTGTTTTGAGACAGAGTCTCACTCTGTTGCCTGGGCTACATTGCCATGGTGTCAGCCTAGCTCACAGCAACCTCAAACTCCTGGGCTCAAGTGATCCTTCTGCCTCAGCCTCCCGAGTAGCTGGGACTACAGGCATGTGCCACCATGACCGGCTAATTTTTTCTATACATTTGTTGGCCAATTAATTTCTGTCTATTTTTAGTAGAGACAGGGTCTCGCTCTTGCTCAGGCTGGTTTCAAACTCCTGACCTTGAGCGATCCTCCTGCCTCGGCCTCCCAGAGTGCTAGGAATACAGGCGTGAGCCACCACGCCCGGCCTACTTCCAGCCTTTTTTGATAGAGAAAAAGATAAGAAGAAATATACATATTGTCTAGATGGGTTTTAGTTAGATTTTCTATTATAAGAAGCTAAGAACATTCCTAATTGATAAAGGGTATTAGGAAGCAAAATCCACTTAATATAATAAGAAAAAAGAGAATTCCCTACAATTTAGAAGAGATCTTTCCTGCATTAATAATACTCTCTTCAATAGAGCTGACAGCTTACTTTGAACTTGGGTCCATTAAGTATACCTTTCAACTCAAACCATATTTAACATATACTTCCTAGTTTCTCTGAAATGTAGCATAGTCTTGGGACTCAGTGTCTATTTAGGCTGAAAGTTGAGGACTTCCTTCCACTCATTTTTAACCTAATGACTAGACAGTGCACTGTTGTGGAATTTCTTATAATATGGTAGAGCAAAAAGCACAGTCCATTATGCCGAAGAATGGACAAAGGCTTCACCTATTTGTCATTGTCGATAATCCATTTCTCCCCTTTATTTCATTTCTTTTTGCCATTTCTTCACTTCCTTCTCTTTCTACCATCAATTTCTAGCACCTCCTGAAACTGCTTCCTTGAAAGTCACCAAAGTCATTTGAGGCAAATCCAAGGGTCTTAGCCATCTTCTCTCCACTTCAGTGCCTGTATTTTATACTTACCATGGGTTCATCAGAGCCCACCCTCTTTCTTTGACTCCTGTCTCAGGAAACTTGGTCCCTCAGAAAACTAATCCATGCTTGGGGCTTGAGACATCCCCTCTTCATTATAAAGAGTAGGAAAGCAGTGGTCAGAGCACTTGAGTTGAAGATCAACCTTTACCTCTCACTGGCCATGAGGTCTTGCATGAGTCATTGAACTTGTATTGAGCCAATCTGAGCTTTAATTGATTATCTTGTGAAATAGTTGCTCTACCTATCCATGAGAGTCATGTTTTGAGGTGCCTCCCAGCCCACTTCCCCTCCTTTGAGATCTGCTTCCCCCCAACCCCCTTGGTGTGGGCAATCATGACCCTGATGGACAGATTATTGGCTTAATGGGGAATGCCCAAGGAGAGCCAATACATGGATGGGTCAATGACCCAAAGTATTCTCTCTTTCTCAAAGACCTGAGCAAAGAGACTCAGGGCATGTAATCTAATGGTGGGCACCAGATGTAAAAAGTGATGGCACCAGGCTGGGCAGTTGTCCTTCCTACAGAGTACAGTAATGAGTCAGCAGACAATAGCAGCCTGCTCAGGAAAGCAGGAGAACAGGACAGACATGAGGTCGAGGACAAGAGACCATCCTGAGTCTGAGTCTCATCCTGGTCTCTGTGTCCAGATTCTCCTTAGGCTCAACTGTTCTTTGCTTCTATTAGTCATTTCAGTCTACACCTTTTATTTGTGCTAACTCGTCTGTCTATCTGATCTGGCCAACCAAAGAGCCTTGACCAGCACAGAGTCTCACATAAGAAGGATGAAAACAGGTAGCTAGAATGCAGCCAACTAGTTTCAATCAATAAGAGATCTGCCATCTTCAGAAAACCTCTTCAGTGTTCCATTGGCCCCCAGAAAAGTGCATAAAGAACTTTCCAAACTTTTACTGTGGACTTGGCCTTGAAGGCCTGGTGGCATTTGGGAAAGGGGAGGGAGGGATGCGATTAGAGCTGGACCAAGACTTCAAGACAGATGTAAGCCTAGGGTGCGAGGCAGAGAGGGGACAAGGAACAAAACAGAGGAGGTATACTGACCTAGAGTTGTCATTTTTCACCTGCTTGACACATACCTCCTCCCTTTCTTCTAGTACTAGGAACCCTCTTTCCCACAGAGAATCCATTCCCTGTGATTGGGCTAGAGTTCCTACCAGCTCACCAGGTGGGTGAGCACATGACCCACACAAGGCCAATCAGAGTGCACTCCATCCTCCAAGTCACTATGATTGGTTGAGGGGTGGGCTCCTAAGATGTGAGTCATAACCTAGTTGAGCCAATCAGAATCACCCTTCCAGTTTTGCTATGGTACTCTTGAGGGAATGACATTTTCTTTAGAGCGTAAGCCATGGAGACGGCATGAGCTGAGCACTGTCGGAGGTGATCTTGGCTTCCATGTGGAGCTGTCTGGCTGGAGAATATGCCCCAAAGGAAAGCAGGGATCATAGAGACGAGGGAGCAACAAAGAGGTCCAGATGGCATCATTTGGACTCCTGAATCCAACTCTACCTGAAGCCATTCCTGCCCTTTACTTATGTCGCCCAGTTATGAGGAACTAATACCTCCTCTCCTTTCTTCCTTACAGTGGTTCCAACTGAGTTTTCATCACTGGCAACAAAACGAGCCTTGACAAAGATGGAAGGTGAAGGAGAAAGATGGAGACATGGTTGGACAGCATGCGTGGTCTCTGAAGGCTCTGAAAGCCAGGCAGGGATGTTTGCCCAGTGGTGACAGGTAAATCCTTCCTGGGAGGAGGGGAGAGTTGCTCTTATCCATTTTTAGTTCTGGTTCTTCCAGTGATGTGCTGAGGGGCACTAAGCTGATTTTTTCCTTTAATCATAAGGAGAAGGTGACAGCAACATTTCACTCCAAACCATTCATCTAATAAGTTCAGACAGAACAGATTGTTAGTCTCAAAAAGTGCTGCTTTCGTTATTGTTGAGATGTGCTCTCTTTTTCTGCTTCTACTGTGTTCTGTTCTTCCCTCCCCGAATGCCCAGATGCAAACTCAAGAATGAAGCAATGCCCAGAGCAGAGCTGTAACATCTATCATTGTTTCACCAGCAGTTTTGTATAACTGACCAGCCTCTAAACTGTGAACGTTTGATAAAGTAGTCAGGCTCTTCTCATAATGAAAAGCCCAGAAAGGAACGAAGGAAACATACAGAACATTATTGCAGGGATTTATAAAACTGGGCTGGAGAAAAGCTCATGGGCCTCAGGTGGAAGAGAAAGGACGAACAGAAAGGGAGGATACAAGATGCAAATGAGAAGAACTGGCAGTGATAAGGAGGGGTGCAGTAGGAGATGGGGGAGGAGAAGAGAGCGAGCAGAGGTGGACAGAGGAGGCAAAGAGAAAAAGGAGGAAAGGAGAGGGATGCATTTCCATCGAGACCCTTCTCTTCTCTGGACTCCCACTTCCTCCTCTGGGGCATCCATAGGCAGCCCCAGCTACGTGATTTGCAGGGCTTAGTACAAAATCAAAAGGTGGAGCCCCTTGTTCAAAATTGCTTAGGAATTTCAAGACAGCAACAGCACAGCATTAACCAACTCTGGAGTCCTGGGATGCTGTGCAGGTCGCATGCCCGTGAAGCTAGCCCTCTCTGTTGGGGAAGATGAACGAGATCAGGACTTTCAAAGGGTGTTCAGTAAGCTCCAGATATTCCAAGAACAAAAGATTCCTTAACCCCATAACTGGGAATCAGGGCACGTTGGCACATTCTCCACCCCCTTTCTTGAAGATTCAGGATGCACATGAACAGCTCCAAGAAGCCCTGCTGAAAGGAACTTGTATATTTTCATTTAAACCAGTATTTCTCAAATTTGTGTGACCATAAAAACATTTTTGCCCAATTCTCCATTATTAATGCACCACAGAACCCATTTTGCAAAATGCTTGACGGCAGTGAGCTTGAGGTTCCTGGAGCTGGAAGGGGCGTTAGCAGTCGCCCACAGCAGGCTTTCCTGCCTGGAGATTCGATGCTTGAGAATCTGCTTGGCTTGGCCTTGGTAATGACAGTGATCTTTGTGCCAGATTTAATGGGGTGGGGTGGGAATGGAGGTTACTTGGGACTGCAAAACCTGCAGGAGGTTCTCAAAGATGACATATCAACTCCCCTAAATGCCCCTTCACTCAGGCACCAAAAAAAAAAAAAAAAATGCCTTTGTTTTAATCTAAATACACTCAAAATGTTACCTGTTCAGCCTGGCACCAAGTAATCCTAGCACACCTGTAATCCTAGCACTCTGGGAGGCCAAGGCGGGCAGATTGCTCAAGGTCAGGAGTTCGAAACCAGCCTGAGCCAGAGCGAGACCCCGTCTCTACTATAACTAGAAAGAGGTTAATTGGCCAACTAATATATATAGAAAATTAGCCGGGCATGGTGGCGCATGCCTGTAGTCTCAGCTACTCCGGAGGCTGAGGCGGGAGGATCTCTGGAGACCAGGAATTTGAGGTTGCTGTGAGCTAGGCTGACACCACGGCACTCACTGTAGCCTGGGCAACAAAGTGAGACTCTGTCTCAAAAAAAAAAAAAGTTTACCTCTTCACTAAGTTCTAACCTCCCCAGAACATTTTCAAAGGGGGCTTTGATAGCACGCATAGGACAGGGACTCCTTGGTTTTTATAAATAAACACAATGTTTGTAGAACTCTTGCATCTCAGATCATTGTATCCAAACTGTATGATTGTATTGGGGTGGATTTATGCCCAGAACTATCGGTATCCCAGCACCTTTGATGAGGAACCCAGGAATCCCTAAAATGTAAACCATTAACTCCTATAAAGATTAGTTAACTTTCAATCTTGTTGAGAAGCACAAAGTTTGATGCAAAAGAAAACCCAGGTGCAGTTTTTCTCCTTCTCCACAAGAAATAGGGTAAGGAGTGAGGCATTTTAAGTAGAAGCTCAAGGTCGAATCTCATCTCAATCCCCTACTATCTCTGTTTCACTCCCTTCTCTGTGTTTTCTCATCTGTAAAATGGAATAATAGTTGTATTAATAGTAAAGATTCCTCTAGCAATAAGATAATGCATAAGAAAGCTGTCTGAAACTTTTTTTTTTTGAAACAGAGTTCTCACTTTGTTGCCCAGGCTAGAGTGAGTGCCATGCTGTCAGCCCTAGCTCACAGCAACCCAGACTCCTATGCTCAAGCGATTCTCCTGCTCAGCCTCCCGAGTAGCCTGGGACTAGTAGGCATGTTGGCACCATGCCTCGGCTAATTTTTTCACATAGTTTTAGTTGGCCAATTAATTTCTTTCTATTTATAGTGGAGACGGGGTCTTGCTCTTGCTCAGGCTGGTTTCAAACTCCTGACCTTGAGTAATCCGCCCGCCTGCCTCCCAGAGTGCTAGGATTACAGGCGTGAGCCACCGTGCAGGCCTGTCTAAAACTTGAACTGCAGCAAGTCTTGCTAAAGCTTCTATTACCTATTACAGAGGTAAAGAATCCAATTTCCACTCTGAGGCATGGACAAATGATTCTAAAATCACAAAGAAAACGACAGAGTTATAAAATACTTAGCGAGAATCTCCCTCACTGGTCATTTTGCTTGGGGGTTCAAACTATATAATCAAATGCTTTGGAGATTCTTAAAGTGCCTTTGCACGAATCCTTTTGAAATGTACCCTACAGTCCTTGGTGAGGAATCGGTCCTGCTGGGCCTCTCAGGGCGCGCTGGTGACGCCTGCTGGCCGGGAGTGGTACGACATGGCTGCTCTAGGCAGACAAAGGGAGGTGGTCTGGAACCCCTGTGTGGGGAACTGAGGAAACTGAGGCTGGAGAGAAATCCTGACCTGGAGCCTTGCTACTCAAAGTGTGGTCCTAGGGCTAGCAGCGTCAGCATCACTGGCAGCTTGTTAGAAATATGGAATCAGACTCTGCATTTTAATGAATCCTCTGGGTGGTTCATATGTGTGTTAGTGTTCAAGAAACACCTTCTAGAGGCCTTAATTTAGTGACTAGGTGTTCAAGGGAGGAAGCCTTTGGACACCTTCCACCTAAAGCCTTCGTTTAAGGAGGAAGCTACATTAAAGAAATTTTTTTAAAAACTCCAGAAAAGGCTAGCAACTCACAGAAAGCTTAGCACTTCTGCTGTTTCTGGTTCAAGCCTTTTGTTACACCAGTGTATAAACTGAGACCCATCCCCCCACAATGCTGCTTTTCTTCCTTTCACTTTTATCCTCTTTCCTACTTATTCTATTGAAGACTTTTTTTTCCTCCCAGAGGAACATTTCTACGAGTTTATAATGAAATGACGGGAAAACAGGATGCCCATTACAGAAAATTTGCTTTAAGATCTTATTTTCTGTAATACACACGGAGGCTTCTTAGAAGTGTTTTCTTTTATGTTCTGTGCACCGGTCACACCTACAAATAACAAATAACAACAATAATGAGAGCCCAAGGGAAGCAGTGGTGGTGCCTCCCTCTTGCTACAGCTATTCCTCCGCAAACACAGCTTGACACCTTCGTTTCTGCTGCCTTGTTTGCAACAGAAATGGATTCTGGGAAGTTGAAGCAAAAAATAAACATATGAAATTTATCAGATGTATATGGTGGTAGCTCGTGGAATAAAAAATACAAGCCGAACGACATTTCAGAAAGGACAGGAAGCAGGGGGCCGTCAGGTGTCCAGGAAGATGGTGTTTCCAGGCGACACCTTTGGGACAATTATTTTCAGCCCTGCCTGTGTCACCGATCAATACAGACATTCTCGGGAAAGAGAGTCTCTTTGGCCTTGCTTGGTTTATGGCCAGACTTTGGATCAAGAAGGGCAGGACATTTTGATTTCAAGACTCATCAAAAGCTGATCTATTTGCCCCTGGAGAAGTGTGGGTCCACCAAGGAAAACTGAGGTTTTATAGCTGAAAGGATAATAGGAGGCAAAACCAATAGCTTCTCTCCACACCTCTGTCTTGTGAAATAGACATGCTCCAAGGTATTGACTGATGAGAATATTGATAACATATTTACTCTAAAACCTATCCCTCTTTTATTCTAGGAGGTATCTATTTTTTAACTATTTATGCACATCGTTGGAACATTCAGTGAGAGTTTGAGGATCCTCGGTTCACCAAGGCAAATCTACTTTCTCCCACATCATGAGATAAAAACCGAATTCAGTCAGTTGAAAGGGCCTCCCCCTCCCAAGACCTCTGGTGTCCGTCCCCCCTCTAATATTCTAATGTATTCCTAAGAGAGGTTATACAAATGGCGGGAGTCTTTTATTCCTTTTTAAAATAAGAGATAAAGAAGAAAGACTGGTAGCTATGAAAAATACACTCTGTCACCAGAGCCACGTAAGAGTTCTTTAGGAAAAACATTGGAGCAATAAATAGCTGCAGTCTCATAGCAACATTCAGCGGAACAATGCTCAGAGCTGAAAGATGTTCTTCAGCTAGAAATTCCTGCCCACGGAAGGAAGCCATCCACGAGTTACTCACTGTTGATTACGGGAACCCAAGCCAGTCCACGGCCAGTGGAGATGAGACTTAATCGTGCAGTTGCCTTCCTTGGAATTTTGCTAGGACTGGAAGTGTCCTTGGAAAGCTAGAATGAATGAACCGGCGAATCACAGAGAGGGCTCAGGGACCATACCGGTTACCTGACAGAAGCTTCTTAGAAGTGTTTTCTTCTATGTTCTGTGCACGGGTCACACCTGCAAATAACAAATAATAATAACAACACAAGGGGACCAATGGTGGTAGCCTCTCTCCCACCCCCACTGCTTCCCCCAAACATACCTCCACAAACACAGCTGGTCCCTCATGAAGCCTAATTGAAGGCTTATTTCTCTGCTTATAATCTATTCTATAAAGTAAACTAATCTATTTTTGTACTGTCCAGGGGACCTGGTATCCATGGCCCAGGTAGCTAGTAATGCACATTTCTTTGCATCCTCCTATTTGAACTTTAAAATCCAAGGGAATTGTGCATTCTATGCCATAATCTACACCTGGGTGTTTTTTTCTTTTTTATTTATTTCAACGTATCACAGAGTTACAAATGTTTTTGGTTACATGTATTGATTTTATTATGCTTGAGTCAGGGTTGTAAGTGTGCCCATCCCCCAGATAATGTTCTTTGTACCCGTTAGGTACATTTTCACCTTGTATGTTTTAATAAGAAACTAATGGCTTCCCCCCAGCCCCCCCTAGAGTCACAGGGCTCTGTAGGAAGTGGTGGCAGGTATATGGCCACGGTCACCTGGCTGGCATGGCTCAGCTGGGAGCAGTGGAAAAAAAGAGACGCGGGGCACCTGGGCTGACTCTGCCACCTTGTTTCAGAGTGGGTCAAGCCAGGAACCTGACTTTGCCACTCCTCAGTTTCCCCATTTGAACAATTAGGTGGCTGATTTCTGTTACTCCCTAATCACGGCAGCTTAGAAGGTATCTCTGCTGTGAGTCCAAGAGGGTTTCAGAAGAAGTAACCATGAAGCCATTCTCTTCCAGGTGGAATATATCTGGGCCCTCTCAGAAACTCACATTTAAAAAAAGAAAAACGCTTTCCCTCTAGCATCCTCCGTCTCTGGCCCACGGACTTCTGGACATGCAGGGACTAGGAAACTCGAACCGTTGAATTAAGAAGCAGAATATAGAAAATGCGATCTGGGAGTTTATCCTTTAAATACCAAATCTTCCGCCTTGGGGCCGCTCTCCTACTGTCTGTTCTTTCTTTTTTTTTTTTTTTTTTTTTGTGGACAGAGTCTCGGCTTCGGTTGGCCCAGGCCTAGCAGTGAGCTGCCATGGTGCTCAGCCTAGCTCACAGCAACCTCAAACTCCTGCGGCTCAAGCCTGGCTCGCCTGCTCAGCCGCTCCCGAGTAGCTGCGGACTACAGGCATTGCGTGCCCACCCATGCCTGGCTGATCTTTTTGTCATATAATGTTGTTGGCCAATCATTCTTTCTATTTATAGTAGAGACCAGGGGGTCCTCACTCTTGCTCAGGCTGGTTTCGAACGTCCTAACGCGCGGAGCAGATCGAACCGCCTCCGGCCTCCAGAGTGGTCTGCTTCTTCTCTTATTGTGAACAAAGCAGCAGTTGTCAGACACCCAGGCACCGTCTGCAGAGCCCGCCTGCTCCTGTCCCCATTGTCACCGCTGAATGCCGAGATGGTGACCTTTGATGAGCTTGGGGGGATAAACGCTATCCTGGGGAGGCAGAATTAAGATCAGCAAATATCTTGACAGGCTGGAATAATGAATGAAATCGAACATTTGAGATCTAACCAGGATAAACGTAGAAGTCTGGTCCACCGGTTCAGAATACCAAATGCATAAAAATAGCTGATCTTGTGAAAAAAGTCCAGAATGTTCAGTTTCCTACAATCTCAACCTGTGCCAACAGGATGACTTGGCCCCTCTACCCACCCCAAAGTTATCATGGTGTGGGTTTCAAGAAACAAAGCTGATTAAAGCAAGAGGAAAAAAATCTCCACTGTCCTTTGTTTGTACCACATCCGTGTCACCAGCATGACTCAAGTGCTGGGGAGGAAAGCCAGGCAAGGCCAAGACAGAAAGGCAGACTCCAACCAGGCAAGTGGCGGTCTTGCTGGACAGGGAGGCCATGAGAAGAATCCAGAATTCAACCAGGGCCTGAAAAGGTGAGTAAAGACAGTGGCAACCTTAATGCAGAGTCTCAGCCACCCAAATCAGGGGGTACAATTAGAAGAGGTTGAGAAAGAATCACGTAAGAATGTGACAGAGTTGATGGAATGGAAATGCCAGATGGCAAGACATTAGGTTGTCTTAAAAGAGCTAAAAGCAAAGCAACCAAGCAGACAAGGGCGGTCTATACAGCTTTAAAGGAGGTTGTGAGTTAAATTAGAGGGGGGAATTGTGGGGTGGAATGACGAAGACCCAGGAGACAGGGACATAATCTATTTGCATCAGGGGGATAGGCTTGGTGTCCCTTGTTGTGATGACAATAAAAAGGGTCTGGTGAGTTCCCCAGAAGTGCAGGAAGACTTGCCCAGAATGCGTGAGGCTCAGATCCTGTCTCAGCAGAAATCTCTGCCTGATGCACAACATTATTGCCCTTGAATAGCTAACCCTATTTCCTTAGGATGATAAAAACACTCTGTTTGGTTTAAATGTCCTTTGAAAAAACTAAAAACACTATTTATTGACATGTGCGCATACCTAAATGTGGGGCTTGAAGAATTTTCACAAGCTGAGCACAGCCATGGAAGCAGAGCCTAGATCAAGAAGCAGAACAGAAGCCTCTCATATTCCACTCTTGTCACTACCTGTCCCCAGGCGTAACTGCTATCCTAACTTCTAATAGCATAGGTTTGGTTTGTACTTTATAAAAATGGAATTAGATAGTACGTATATACTCTTGTGAGAGTCATCAATATTATGTGTGATTGTAGATCATTCATCTCACCCCACTGGGTCAAAACACAACACATTATATATGCATTGTTGACGGGCAATTTGTGTAGTTTCCAGTTGGGGCTGTTACTTGCAGTTCATGCCGTTTGGAGAACATATGTATGCATTTTTGCTGAATTTATGTTATAACAGGTGATGGAATTACTGGATCACATGTACACCCTAGAACCAATAATTCCACTCCTAGAAAAAATTCTAATTAAATAGAGAGATGAAATAAATAAAATCAATGATAATCATGCATGTTTGTTAAGGTCAGGAAAAGAAAGGATTTTGTATTCATTGAAATGATCTGTATATATTAAGCACTTAAATGTTTGCAATATTTAAGGATATTTGCATATTTGAGTATAATAAGGTAGCCTGGTGATTCCACTTTAGGATGTGTAAAAATTTGGTAATTGATTTTGTATTTGTGGTTTTAAATTGAAAGTTATTAGAGAATTGGGTTAAGTTGGTAAAAATATTAGCCTCTTTAAGAGAATTCACTATTACAAATTTGATTTATTAGATTGTTCAGAGTTGTTTAAGTACCTGGGGAGGTTTTGCTTCTAAATTCAGAAAACAAAGTCTGGTAACTTTATAAAGTCAGTTAAAAATGCTTAAGGGAATTTAACTAACTGAATTTATAAAAGGGACTGATTGTTTAAGGTACTTAAGTTTGCCTATTTGGAGTTGATAAAATTTGGAGTTTATCCATGGGCCCTTTTTGAAAGGGATTTTTAAAATTTACTAGATTTATGAATGAAATAATATTCGTCAGGTAAGCTGAAAGCCTTAATGAACACTATCTCTTTTTTAAAATTTACAACTTTAATAAAAAATGAAACATTAATTTGAAAATCCAACTGATGTCTTCCCTGTGTCCAAGAAGCTTGTCTTCAGGACATCTGAGAACTTCCACTGTCACTCTGGAGAACTGGGTCAGGTCTGGGAAGGGTATTTTATGAAGTAGGCTTTCCAAAGAGTTCATCTGAAGAGCATCTTGCAGGTGACAGCCCTGGAGAGGCTGTGATGACCATTCCCATGAGGGCCACTGGCAGGAAGGAAATGGACACACTTAGCTGGAGAAGAGACAGAGAAGAGATCTTCAAATCCAGGGAACATGTCTTCAAATGGGCTAAGGGTTGTAACGTTAGAAGGATTCCTGATCAAACATGGTGGATGGAACACATATACACATATACACACACACACATTTATAGAGAAAAACATACTAAGTTGATAATATTGGTCTTTTTAAGGGAATTCACTATTAGGTATTTGATTTATTAGATTTTGGAGAGCTGTTTAAGTACCTAGGGAGGTTTTGCTTCTTAAGTCAGAAAACCAAGTCTAATAACTCTGTCGTAGACATGGCACAAAGGTCAAAGACAGTGGGAGAGGGGACAACCACAGATAGGACATATTGACAAAATGTTTGGAAATGGCGAGTGCTGGTGCTTACTTCATCAAGTAAGATGAAGAAGCTCTGAGAGCTGAGGAAGCATCTGCAAAGTGGGATCCTGCCATAGTTGAATGTCTGTGTCTCTCCCAAATTCATAGGTTGAACCCTCACCCCCAAGGTGATGGCATTAGGAGGTGAGGCTTTTGGAAAGTGACTACTGGGTCAGGTGAAAGTTTTCAGAATCAAAACCTGTGTCAGGTCTGGGAGGATATTTTATGAAATAGTCTTTGTGAAGAGTATCTTGCAGGTGGCAGCCCTGGGGTGGCTGTGATGGCCATGTCCCATGAGGACCACTGGCAGGAAATGGGCATGCTGAGCGCAGAAGCGACTACTAGTATTTAAACAAACGAACGAACAAACAAAAAACCAAACCCCTGATGAATGAACCGGGGAAGACCTCGAGGAGAGGGCTCTCATGCTCGCATGTCTGATAACAAAACTATCACAAAAGACTGCAAAACTCACAAGCTGGCACAAAGGCCATCATAGCTTTATCCAAAACAAACAAACAAACAAACAAACAAACAAACAAACAAACTTCTGCAAGGACATCTGCACAGCAACTGCCTGTCCACCCTTGGATTGGCATCACCCTTGTTACTGATCTTGGCAGCCAAGGATAATCATTTCAAAACCATTATATAATCCTCCTCATTAATTATTATTAAATAATTAATAAATAATAACAATACTTTATTATTAATAATATTAAGAATAATTAATAATTATCAAATCCCCCTATTTTTTTTTCCTTTACAAACCTCTGTATTTCTTCACCTCCCTGAGTACAAACCTAGCTTGCTATGGCATGCATATTCCCATTGCAATGCTCTGAATAGACATCACTTCTATTTTAATGAGAGCCTCTCTTTTTCTGTTTGTTATTTAGGTTGACTGTCGTCAGGGTGGAGCTCTCCTGCATGGGATTAGTGTCCTATAAAATAGGCCCAGGGGAGCTCGTTTGCCCCCTTCACTGTGTGAGGATGCAGCAAAATGACAGCTGTCTATGAACCACAAGACACCAAATCTGCCAGCATCGTGGACTTCTCGGCTTCAGAACCGTGAGCAATAAACGCCTGTTGTTTACAAGCCACCCTGCTTGTGCAGCCCCATGGCCAGAACAGACTGAGACAGATGCCAAGGAGAGACCAGCTGCCTTATTCCCCACCGGTCCAGGAGGCCGGGCACGGGCTGCAGAGAAGGTAGGGCTGAGACACGGTAGGACAGAAAGAAGGGAGAAAGGAAGATTACTGGGAGGCAGGATAAGGAGCAGAGAGACCCTCCTGTTCCCTGCCCCCTTCCATATGACTGTTGGCCATCACCCCCTGCCCTGCAGGGGACAGGAGGCCTGTGCCACACTGAACTGAACAGGTCCCATGTCAACAATACCAGGAGCAATGGTCAGGGGGTTGGTGGCGTCATACTTAGAATAGAGTCACTCAATAAAGGCCACAGATGGGTTGGCTAGACATTTGATGTTAGTGCACTGTACTCTGTGTAAGTTATGCTTCAACAAAAAAGTAAATACAGAACTCTTGGGTGGGTGGGGGTGGTGGGAAGACCCAGGACACAAGAAATCTAGGTTGTAACACAGGAAGTCCTAAGGTGATAGTTATTACGCAGTTGGCTTGGCGAACAACCATTCCTGACCGAGCAGGAGAATGGAGCAGGAAAAACTAAGGCATCAGTAACAAAGTTGGTGTAGTTGGCCACATGGAAAATAGTGTTCAGAGGAATTTTACAATTCAGTTGGAGAGTGTGGCAAGAATTAGTGACAGTGATATAGAAAACTAAGGGTATAAGTTGGATACAGTTTAAGCTGCTATAAAAAAAGAGAGAGAGACTCCAAAACACAAGAATTTAGTAAGATAGAGTTTTATTTCTGGCTTCATGAAGCCATCCAGAGGCAGGTGGCCTGGTGGCTCTCTTCCACGCGGCTGTTAGGGACCCAGGTGGGTAGGCTGGCTGTGCCACTGGCCACACGTGGTTCCGTCTCAGGGTCCAAAGAAGATGCAAAAGTTGTTGGCCTTTCCCAGACAGTGGGAGGAAGGAAGAAGAGAAATGGACCAAACACCCAATGAGTCTGAAGGACAAGATCCAGCAGTCGAACCCACCTTTCTGTTGACATGCCATAATTAGTAAGAACCTGGTCACGTGGCCACACCTACTGCAAGTGTGGCTGGGGGCAGGGCTCTGGCTGGCAGCCACATAGTAAAACTCTGGATAGAGGAATTTCTATTATGACAAGGGAGAAGAGGAAGACGGATGCTGGGGGACAATTGTGAGTCCCTGCCATATTTGGAATAGGAAAAAGAGGTACCTACGAACTTCAGGATGAGCAAAATGTTATACAAGGAAGGAAATGTAGCCGTAGTGTATTACCTGGCCCACAAATGATTGATATTTGGTGTGATCATAAGTATAAACTCTGAAATACTGATTTAGCCAAAAATCATCGTATAACTTTTGGGAGACTGAGAGGGAGGCCTCGGTGGGCATGGTGTGGTACCAAGGTGACAACTGGTCATTTTGTCCACGAGGACCCCAGTAGGCATGTCCAAAGGGCTGTATTTGAAGCATTTATAGATGAAGTAATATGACGTCTTGGATCCAGTGGTGGGGAGAAAGAGAAGGGGTTCTATGTGGAGTTATGTGTCTGGGAGCCCCTGATTCAGCCAGAGTGAATCAGAGAGGGCTCCCTGGAGGAGGCAGCATCAGAGTCAGATCGGTAGAAGGGTTTGCTGCAAAGAGGAAACAGCTGGAGGAAAGACACAACAGCTGTGGAGTGGGTGGAATTGAGACTTTGAGAAGATGGTATAATTATGGCAGAGGATGAGGGGACAGAGCAGTAGGCATGAGTTTGGAGATGGCGAAGGTGGGAGAGGACCTTCTGTGAGATTTGGGTTAATCCTGTAGGATCTGGGCTCGTGCAAAGAGGAAGCAACCGTTTCTTTGCACATGAACATGCTGCTATCTACCAAGCCACACTCGCTTCAGTTGTTTTCCCAAGTGAGGTCATTTGCTCTCAAAAAGGTACATGGAGAACTGAGCGTGCTAGAACATGATTTCCTAGCAACCTAATCACCTGGTCAAACCCACTGTCTATGATGAGGTAACAGCCTCAGAGGAAAGTGACCCAACTAGTTAATTGTGCAGCTGGGATTATAAGAACCAGATCTGACTTTTTTTCCAAATTGCTTTATTAAACAGGGAGGCCAGGTTGTATTAATACAACTGAGATGGGGTGGGGGGTGGGGGGGACTTTCTCATTGTACATAGTAGAAATTAAGACCAAGAAAAACGTAAAACACACAAATACATATATACGCATTCACTGGCTGTCAGAACAAAAATGTCATCACATGTTGGACAACCTCTGGAAAATTCCACTATACGCTTATGAGTGAGCAAGAGTGAAAAGGGGAAATAAGGTCTTAGTGTTTGGACCATGAGAGAGACAGTTCAGGGGCCACCCGTCTCCATGGAATGAAGTGCAAATGGTACCTCCTAGGGTCATGAAGTGGCTCTGTGCCCAAATATGGCACGACAGCCATCTTCCAGGCGGCATCCTAAGAGCACTTTTTTTTTTTTTTCAGTCACAGTCTCACTCTGTTACCTGGACTAGAGTGCCGTGGCATCAGCCTAGCTCACAGCAACCTCAAACTCCTGGCTCAAGTAATCTTTCTGCTCAGCCTCCTGAGTAGCTGGGACTACAGGCTTGTGCCATCATGCCTGGCTAGTTTTTTCTATATATTTAGCTGGCCAATTACTTTGTTTCTATTTTTAGTAGAGACGGGGTCTCGCTCTTGCTCAGGCTGGTTTAAACTCCTGATCTGAGTGATCTACCCTCCTCGGCTCCCAGAGTGCTAGGATTACAGGTGTGGAGCCACTCGCCGACCCTAAGCACATTTTTGAGACTGACCGGTGTGGTAATATAGGGTGTGATTGTAAAAAGATGGTTTTCTCCGTAAGCAACCAAGTGACCCCTGGGATCGACCCCTAGATCCTTCGTCAACTCCACTCTAAAGATTTCATTCAGCGGCTGAGCGTGGTGGCACTCTGGGAGGCGAGCGGGCGGATCACTCAATGTCAGGAGTTCGAAACCAGCCTGAGCAAGAGGGAGACCCTGTCTCTACTAAAATAGAAAGAAATTTTGGCCAACTAATTATATATAGAAAAATAGCCGGGCATTGTGGCGCATGCCTGTAGTCCCAGCTACTCTGGAGGCGAGGCAGGAGAGATTGCTTGAGCCCAGGAGTTTGAGGTGCTGTGAGCTGGCTGACGCCACGGCACTCACTCTAGCCTGGGAAAAGCGAGACTCTGTCCAAAAAAAAAAGATTTCATACAGCTAATGAAGACTCTGGGAAGGGCGGTGTCACGTGTCCCTTAGAGGCTGAGTGACCAACAGTGCCGTCCCGTTTGCCGAAGCGAAGTCTCCCCGTGGCCCTGCTGTCATTCTCCACGCTGCAGACAAATGCTTTTTTCCGACTCTTGACTCAGTATTGTGGAAACGGAACACAGCTATCAGCTTGGGGAGCCGCACTGTTGCCATGGGTTACATGCATTCAAAACTAAGGATGGAACCGAAACAGGCCCTTAAATATCAGCCCTCGAGTGGGAGGCCGAACGCAGTGCTGTGACACCTTAGAGGAAAACAGGAGACACGTGGCAGGGATGGCTGCTGCCTGCAGTCTGGATTTGTTAACAGCTGCTAAAAATATGCTCTCTGCACAGGGCTTGCTCGTCGTGGCAAACACCCGGAGGAATGAGAATGAATGTCTGAGCGTTTAGACCCGTGCCGTCCAGTATGGTGGCCGCCGCTAGCCACGCGCGACCACCGTGCATTCGAAATGTGACTCGTTTGAATTAAGATGTGCCGATAGGCCAGGCGCGGTGGCTCACGCCTGTAATCCTAGCACTCTGGGAGGCCAAGGCAGGCGGATAGATCAAGGTCAGGAGTTCGAAACCAGCCTGAGCAAGAGCGAGACCCCGTCTCTACTATAAATAGAAAGGATTTAAATTGGCCAACTAAAAATATAGAAAAAAAAAAATTAGCCGGGCATGGTGCCGCATGTTTGTAGTCCCAGCTACTCGGGAGGCTGAGGCAGAAGGATCGCTTGAGCCCGGGAGTGTGAGGTTGCTGTGAGCTAGGCTGACGCCATGGCACTCACTCTAGCCTGGGCAACAAAGCAAGACTCTGTCTCAAAAAAAAAAAAAGATGTGCTGATTGCATTAAAATACACACCAGATTGCAAATGCCTACTATGAAAAAACCATAAAATATCACATTAATAATTTTATGTTATTTTGTACAGTAGTCATTATCTTGAGTTATATAAAATATATCATCAAGTGGGTTATAATACTGAGTTAAATAAACTGGGTTAAATAAAATATATTGTTAAAATTAACTTTTCTGGTCTCTTTTTGCTTTTTTAATGTGGCTACTAGAAAATTTTAAATTATGTATGTATGTGGCTCGCATTTGTGAACTGCGTTATATCTCTGCTGGACTGCTCCACGCTATAACTGTGGGCAGATCCTTTCAGAGGCTCGTCCTAACCTCTCTCTTACCCCATCCCGATCCACCCCAACTTTCTGTCCCACTCAAATCATTCCCTTTCTCTTTCTGTTTCTACATTTCTCTTTTATTCTCACATTTTGTATTCTTTCAACAGGAAAAATGGGGCCCTTGTACCATTAGATGGAAAGATTAATAGGTAACAGTTTTTATTAATAAAAGGCTCACTAGAGGCCAACACTTTGCCTGCCTTAGGGCACATAATTCCCCCATCTGCCTTACAAGGTAGGTATGATTATTAGCACAGAGAGGTTAACCTGCATGCCCAGGGTCACACAGCAAGTAAGCAGAGAAACTAGAATTCCAACCCCAGGAAATCTGTCTCCCAAGCCCTCGCTCACTGCTCTACATTGTGTAAGAGAAATGGCAAACTGGGGGATTTTAGTAGTCACCCCTTTTGAACAATTGTGTTTTCCCCATTCGCACTGCCGGTTGGCCCCAGGTAAGAAGTTGATGAAGCTTAAAAGATAGTTGGGGGGGGGGGCTCCTAAAAGGTGTCCACTGGTGCCGTGGTCTCGACTGTGCTCCCCTAATCCATAAGCCCTTGCCCCCAGTGTGATGGTGTTTGGAGATGGGAGCAGTGGGAGGTGATGGGTTCAGCCGAGGTCATGAGGGTGGGGCCTTCATGGTGGGATTGGTGCCCTTATAAGAAGAAACACCGGAGACCTGCGCCCTCTCTCTCCCCGCGCACACACACTGGGGAAAGGCCCTGCGAACGCACAGCGGGCCAGGAAGAGGCCCTCACCAGAACCGGCCGTGCGGGCACCCTGACCACTTGTGGTGTGTAAGCCAGCCAGCCCGCGGTGTTTTCTGCACCCTGAGCAGACAAAGACAATAGACCCCTGAGT